GCCTCGGCCCTGTCCAATGAACTGGCTTGGGCGGCTGTCCCCTGACGCGCAGGCGGAGCTCCCACTGCTCCTGTGTCCGCCATGGAAGGGTGCTGGGCCCTTGGCACACTCCCCGCTGCCACTCGGGAGGCATGGACCTGGCCTGTGCTCAGAGCCTCCGCACCTCCGCCCTCTCCAGGCCAGCCTTGCCTGCGGTGAGCCACCCTGTCAGGCTGGTTTGCCCCTTCTCCTGCCGGCCCGGCCACCTCTACCTGGACGGCTTCTCCGGAGTGGTACGAGAAGCAGGACGTGGGTGGACACGGCTGCTGCAGCGCCAGGTGTGCTGACCACAGAGGGTCCTTGGGGAGCGTCCACCTGTCCGTCAGCAAAGAGGCTGGTGGCCTGGCTCGGCGCTGCTGCTGGCCTGACGGCTCCACCCAGGTTTCGTGGGACACCTTCTACTCGGAAGGGTCCATCAGTTCCTCCAAAGCTTCATGTCTCTCCTGAAGAGAGCAGGCTCCTGACACCCTGACCGCACCAGGAGAAACGCATGCAGGAGCTGGCGGGCAGGTGGTGGTGGTGAGGGCACTGGAGTCCACGCAGCTGACCGTTGGTCCAGGCCACAGATCTGGCGACTGGAAAAGCAGGCAGGGCACGTGCATGTGTGCGTGCGTGTCCAAATCTCGAGAGGGAGAGAGCGGGGACTGTGATACAGCCTTCACCCTGGAGGGTGACTTCTCCCCTCCATCTCTGTCTCTACTGCCAGAGAGCCCGTGTGCCCCTTGGCAGAAATCTAAAACAAAACAAACAAAAAGTGCCTGCTAACCTTTACTTTCTCGCCACAGACCTAATTTTCACAGATGGTTATTTTCTGTAGAATTTTAAAATTAAAAATGAGTAATTCCTAGTTTAAAAAGTACAATTTAAACGTAAATTTTACACCAATTAGAAGGGTAATCAGTGTTTAGCAAAGTGACTTTCTTTCAGTTTTGACTAATGATTTTACATTTAAATAATCTCAAACAGGCTTTGAAAGGAGCCCATCACAGATCTGAAAGAATGCTCTCCAAGGAGGGGCTCCCCTCTGAGGACTCAGAAGCCCATTAGGTCTCCATGGAAGGAAACTTAACTAGCAAAGAGCAGCAGGAAATCTTCCCCCAAATCAGCAAAAATTCCACTTAATCCAGGCAATGGAAGACAGGTAAAAGCACTTGGTTTTTAAGCTAAAGAAAAAGAATTGTATAAATAGACCTCGAACCAACAAATGTAGAATATGGGAAGACTGTCTTAAAATGGTCAACAAACATAAAAGGATGTATAAATCTAGGATTTTAAAAAAATTTATGTTTTAATTTTTAAAAAAAATTTCTGGAAGTATTTGTATTGTTTTAACTTTATTTATTTACTTTAATTTGACCAGAGAGGGATGGAGGGGACCAGAGAGAGAGGGAAAGTGAGAAAGCAAGCCACCAGGTCTGGGACTCAAACCGTGGTTGGCCATGTGGGAGTCCAGTGCCTCTAACCACCATACCACCTGCTGGTCCCAAGTCTAGGTTTTTTAATAGTAAACATTTCTAAAATCTAACGACAATAGTTAATATTAGCTATTATGTACCCTTTAAAAAAAGTAGTTTAAATGTTTTAGCCTTTAGGTGTGCAATGATGTTTTAAGTGAATAAACTTAATAGATCACTAGCAACAACTACTTTATACATTATCTGTATTTTTTAAAAAGAATTATTCATTTTTATTTATTCATTCATTTATTTTAATTTGATGAGAAAGAGAGACAGAGAGAGACTGTAAGAAAGCAAGCCACCAGGTCTGGAACTCCACAGTGGCAGGCCATGTGGGAGTGTCCAGCACCTTAACACCACACCACCTGCTGGTCCCCCAGTCTAGTCTTAATTAACACATAAATAAAATCACTGAAAGAGAAGCTTGTTTTAAACAACTCACTGAAACTTGTTTAGCAGTTGCTGACTCCCCTAGAGGAGTAAAGCTCGCCCACTGTAGGGAACACTTGCTCCTATCTCTATCTCATCTGTGGGTCTTCCTCTCTTCCACCGCACGCCAAGTGCACTGTGCCTTTCCCATTACCTCGGCCCTTCCGTCGCTGCGTACCATGAAACCGCCACGGCAGCCAGACATCAAGGCTGCTTAAAGTACATCCCTCGTTAAAGAAAAAAACCAGAAACTGGAAAAGGGAAACTACATTAAAATTATATACCCCTGTGGGAAAAAGTAATGCTAATTTTATATATGTTGAAACCTAGAAAATAAGTATTCCCTCTGAATCTAAACACGGCAAGTGCCCCGTAAGTCTGTTATTATATAATGGCCAAAACTGAGGTTATTTTAAGACTGCGTACCGCCAACTCTTAGCCACTTACCTTCTCGGTGCCTCTCTTCTTGTCCCGAGGCTGATTCAGCTTGGCCTGTCTATCAACCAGGATCTTCTGCCAGTACCTCTGTTCGTGGTCACCTTGACAACGAAGACACACAGGGACACATTCGAGTTATTATATTCCTCACAAGAACTAAGGTAGTTGTTTAATTACATCGAATGCTCATTCAGAAATAATTATTTTATTATTTAATTTCATCCACCATAATTATCGTTATTTTAATGAGAGAGAGAGACAGAGACAGCAGGAAATTGAGAAAGCAAGCTGCCAGATCCAGGACTTGAACTGCAGTCAGTCATGTGGGAGTCCAGTGCCCCAACCACCATGCCACCTGTCGGTCCCAGCTCAATCAAGCATGTCAGAGAAAGAAAAAAATGACTAGTTTTATTAGCCAAACTTGGAAAAATGTAATACAACTACCCCAAATAAGAATCGTTAAAAACACGGGGCTGGCAGGTGGCACAGTGGTTAGGGGTGCTGGACTGCCACATGGCTGAACACAGTTGGAGCCATGCACCTGGTGGCTTGCTTTCTCACTTTCCTCTCTTTCTGTTCCTCTCTGGTCAAATTAAATACATAAATAAAGCTAAATAAAGCAATTAAAAAAAAAAGAATTGTTAAAAACACAAATTTCTGTGTTGCCCCCCCAGGAATGATTTAATTATTATTATTTTTTTCACATGAGTTTTGCCAAAGAAAGAGAGAGAGAGAAAGCAAGCTGCCAGGTCCAGGACTTGAGCCACAGTCGGTCACGTGGGAATTCCTGCACCTTAACCACCACGCAACCTGCTGGCCCCGTTTCTGTGACATTTTACCAGAAAGGATCTCGAGTGTCCAGCCGTGTTTCTTTTTCGCGTCTGCGTATGCATCCACCACTGAGCGTGCGTCCTCGGGAGTCTTAAACCTGGCATGGCACTCCGTGTCCCCGTCCAGCAGGTCGACGTAGACCACCTCCGAGATGGCAGCCAGGGCATCCTGCAGCAGGGGCAGAGACTGCTGTCAGGACCCACCACGTCCCCACAGTGCCCAGGTGTTCCGTGAAGGAGACTACTGTGCATGCACAACTACGGTGAACAGATGTGGGTACCAAGGAGACCCACTTTACCACACGCTGGAACCACAGTTGACCAATCTCCTTAACTACATCCTTGAAATCGGAACTAGGATAGAGCACTCTGTAAGGACCAGGTTTGGCGAACAGAATGGACAAACATACAGTGTCCCTCACCCTGAAATCAGAAGGTTCTCGTCTGTGAGTAGAGTAACGAATAAAAAAGGGCCAGGGGACATTTGCTTCCGAGCACCTGCACAAAATCGCTGTGACTTAACATATGTGTGAGAGCCCTTCCACTCTCTACAACTCAGGAAAGAAGGAAAAAGTTTCTATCAACCAGGATCTGCTGGGACAGGGCTCAACAGACCTTCCTGATAAGATACCTAAACAGCCTCTTCTATGAGGCTGTAAACACCCAGCAAAAACCAGTTTACCTAAAAAGCCTGCTGTGAGGGCAAATTAGGAGATTCCTGCATTCCTAACCAATTTGTCTCTGCTCAGCATTCCTG